GCGTAGTCTCAGGCGTGATTACACCGTAAACAATGCTCTCTGCAACAACAAACATAAAACACTTATAACAGCTGATGAGTGTGTTGAGTTTAACAGCCTGGAAGTCGAATTCAAAAAAACCTGCAGCTAACTTCAGCATTTCTGCTGGCAACATATAAGAAGCCGCACAATGTCTCTGAACCCTCGGTATGTAACCAGTAATAGTCCACTACTACTCTTTAATTCAGAAATGTGACATCCTCAGCATTTTCACTGAAAAGTTGAGCTCAGAGCTTCAAGCATTAGTCTGTCCTGATTGAGGAAAGTCTCGTCTCCTTAATCTACTTTGGAATCTGTTTAACTGTCAACAGTTTAAACAAAAAACACCAAACAGCTGCACATTTAGCAGGAAGCAGTAGACAACAGCTGAGTGAATAAATGGAGTGTTGCATTCTTATTTTACTGGTCGATGTTGTTTGTTAGAGCAATCTGCAACAAGGACAGACACTCAGATCATCGAACAACTAACAGTAACAGGGTCAAAGGTCAAAGGCACAACCTCCCAATAAGATACTACAACAAGGTCTGCAGCACAAGCTGTAATTTACTCCCATCATCCATCAAATGCAGATCCAAGTCTTGAATCCTTGGAGAGTTTGTAATCTCGTCTGTGAAGGTCTGGCAGCGCACAGTAAGTATCCTCTACTGGCAACAAACAGCAGTGTTGTGTCTCAATCTGCACAGATCATAACAAGCAGAACATGCTAACAGAAAAGTGAAATGCTCTGTGGGAGAAGCAACAGTGATGGAGTGAAGTTGGGCTGGGCTCGCAACCAAAACCACTGAAACCAACCAAAAACTGAAACCACCGCTGCTATAAAAACCTGGAAGCATCACCACACAGATATGAGCCGCCTGCAGATAATAACACAGCAGCTACAGCCAGGCGATGCTGTTTATACTCGCACAACGTTTGTGGACGTATAATCGTCACACTTGAGTCAAGGCAAGGTTAGATAAGCACTCTGCAAACCTGTCATTATGCAGTACAACATGCAAAACGTTGGAGAGTATTTGAAGTTATTTATAATGTAGAGAGAGAGAGAGAGACTCGGGACTCACGCGTTGCAGTAGGGTTTCTTATCATAGCCTTTGTAGTTCTTCATGTTCAGCGTCATCTTGCAAACTTCGCAGTGGAAACATCCTTTGTGCCAGTTCTGAAAACACACAGATTCACACTCGAATCAATAGATTCAAATGCTTCCATAGTTCAGTGATACCCTCGTGGAACCATTAAAGCCCAGTAAGCATGCTAGTAGTAGTAGTAGTAGTA